AATTTGGATTAAGTAAACTGTTCATTTTATTATCACAAGCATTTCAGTTTCCACTTAATAATCAGTAGTAAATTAACTATAACTTGCTCAATAAAAATCCAATTGATGACCGGATTGAATCTTTAGAAGCTAGATAGAAAGGGATTTAATTTGATATATTATACGCTTAATTTGGATAACTGTAGTCTCACTGCCAAACCATTCATTTTATCATCACACACATTTTGGTTTCTCTTGTTTCTCGATTTTGACTAAACATTCAGTACTAAAGTAGTCATAACTTGCTCAATGAAAATCCAATTGATGAGTGGTTTGAATCTTTGAAATCTAGAAAGATATGTATTTAATTTGATATATTATCCGCTTAATTTAGATAACTATAGCCCCACTGGCAAACCATTACTTTTATCATCACACACATTTCGGTTTTCACTGAAGAGTTAGTAGTAAATTGATTATAACTTGCTCAATAAAATTCCAATTGATGATAAGTTTCAATATTTAGAAGCTAGAAAGACAAGGCTTTAATTTGGTATATTATACGCTTAATTTGGATAATTGTAGCCCCACTGCCGAATCATTCCTTTTATCATCACACATTTCGGTTTCCACTAAACAGTCAGTCGTAAATTGACCAAAATTTGCTCAATAAAACTCCAATTGATGAGAGATTTGAATCTTTAGAAACTAGACAGATAGGGCTTTAATTTGGTATATTATAATAAATTTAGCCCTACTTCCAAACCATTCATCTTATCCTCACACACATTTCGGTTTTCCTTATTTCTCGATTTCTACTAAACAATCAGTAGTAAATTGATCATAACTTACTCAATAAAAATTCAATTTATAAGCGGTTTAAATCTTTGAAAACTAGAAAGGTAGAGATTTAATTTGATATATTATACGATGAATTTGGATAACTATAGACATGTGGTTGAACTGTTCATTTTATCATCACACACATAAAACCAATTTAATTTTAGTGATGACAAAAGAAAACAAATATTGACATGTAGTTTTAATTGTATTTGTTCTATCTCTTTTTGTTGATATTTTTTTTATGTTACATACATATATCTAAAATAAGTTGTTGCTGAATATAACAAATTTTATTTGTATCACAAATATCATCTGATGTTTGTTGCCGAACCATATAGCTTTAGTAAATCATTTGTAATATACCAAACCATTATTATTATTCTTAAAGGAAAACAAATATTGATATGTAGTTTTAATTGTAATTGCTCTATCCTTTTTGGTTGATATCTTTTTATGTTACATACATATATCATGAAAATTAACCATAATTTGCTCAATAAAACTCCAATTGATGAGAGATTTGAATCTTTAGAAACTAAACAGACAAGACTTTAATTTGATATATTATAAACTTAATTTGGAGATTTGTAGCCCTCCTGTCAAACCATTCTTTTTATCATCACTCACATTTTGGTTTCCACTGAACAGTTAGTAGTAAATTCATCATAACTTTCTCAATAAAAATCCAACTGATGAGAAGTTTGAATCTTTATAAACTAGATAGATAAAGCTTTAATTTGATATATTATACGCTTAATTTGGATAACTTTAGTCCCACTATCGAACTATTCTTTTTATCATCACACACATTTTGGTTCCCCTGTTTCTCGATTTCCACTGAACAGCCAGTAATAAATTTGTCGTACTTGCTCAATAAACCTGTTGCCGAACCATTCATTTTATCATCACACACATAAAACAAATTCAATTTTATTGATGACAAAGGAAAACAAATATTGATATGTAGCTTTAATTGTATTTGTTCTATATTTTTTTGTTAATTTTTGGATTGATTTTGTTGTTTGATTTGTGGGTTTTACAATTATCGTCTTTTTTGGGATGCTATCATCAAATGCTTTTTTTTGCTATAGGTAATGGTTAATTCTATTTGCAACAAATGGATTTGTGTCACATGACCTTTATCTTTTTGGCTTTTTCAATGCTTTAATTAAGTTATCTTCAGATTATAATGTTGAAGTTGTTGCTTTCTATGTGAGTTCTCTTCTCAACATTCTTAATTTTTTTTATTTCTAACATAATAATAATAATAATTCATTTTCTCTTCTCAACAATCAAAATCCGTTTTTTCCTTTGGCCTTGCAAGTTTCTTGCTTAAAAGTTCACATTTTTCAACAAGGTTTATCTTTCTCTAATTGATTTATAGACTTATCAATAATATCTAGTGGGTTATCTTGCGATTTTTTTTTTTTTGCTTTTCTTGACAAAGTTTTAAACTTTGGTTGTAGATGTCAAATGGTGGCATATTTGGGAAGAACCATGATGATACAGACTTTGAGTTCAATTTGTGGATATTTTATTTATTGATTTTTTAATTATCAATTCAATATAAAATGAATTTCAATATAGAAAATATATATTAAAAACACAAAAAAAAAACCAATAATAATGTAAAAAAAATATAATAAACATATCCGCGTAACGAAATTTGAAAATGAATATAAATTACAGAAATTGCAGGAGGCCAATATAAATTTTAAGTTAAAATAGTTGATTTTGATAATATTCAAGTGATATTAAATATCATACATGATTCATTACAAAATACTGACATCGAATATCAAAGATATGTCTGCAAAAATAATATCAATTGTTGCTAAGAGCTTGAAAATACATGTTTTGTTAGTAATTTAATTTGATTATTTGTGGAAAAATATATTTTTATTATAAAATTTGAGTTAATTATTTCATAAATATATTTTATGGGATCACGAGTGTCTTTTGAATATTTTCAGGTTATAAATGATATTTAACTTATGATGGGTTTAAACATACCTTTGCTTGTTTATCGGCCATTGCTAGATGTAAGATAGTTTAACCATCGTCATCCTTAGAATTCACAAACTCGTGATCATTCATTGTCTCCATCAACAACTTCATTGCCTCTAATTGGTTGAATTGCACACACAGATGTAAAATTGTCTCACTTCGCTCCATTAAGACTCGAGCAGAATCAGCTCTCACCTTAACTAACTCTTTTAAGACATTAACATGACCCTTCATTGCTGCAATATGCAGAGGGTTTCTCTCATCTTCATCACAAACAAAGCAAATTTCAGGATGAACACGTACCAATTTTTGCACTATACCAAGGTACCCTTTTGCTGTTGCGAGGTGAAGTGGTGATGCTTTTCTGTAATCAAGTTCTCTTGCTAGCTCAGGCTTACGTCTCAGGATTTCGTGTATAAATTCTTCATGTCCAAGCATGGAAGCTACATGTAACGGTGTCTCAGTGTAACATCCCACCAATAATCTATCGAGAACGAGGGGTTGTTCATTAAGCACGTTAAGCAAATTTTGAAGATTACAGACTCGTGGGACAGAAAGAATGATCACTGCAGCGACCATTTTTGCCACCGCAGCAATGGGTTGCGGGCCTGTTATGGTTATTTTATTTTCCTAATCCGAATCTGAATGGTTTAAGGCATCTAATTCTTTCCTAATTAACCTTCAAAACCTAACACTATAAATAAAAGTCTTTAATTAGTTTTTAGGGAGATTGGATAAAGAAAAAGAGCGGTTACTATTTTGAAGATAAAAAATGTAGTTTTCGTTCATCAATTAGAGAAGTTTTTCTATTTTTTTTCTTGAACTCATGTTATTGAATACAATGATTGTTTTTAGTATTGAAATTATGAACTAAATTTCTTTTCTAGGACTAAAGATGTAGCCCAGTTTATGAATATGTATTGATTTTATTGTTGTTAATTTTAATTGAGCATTAATTATAAGTTTTATTATTGTGTGTAATGTTTTCAATTCTTAAGGCCTCGAGAGGTAAATGATTTTATGGGTTGGGTTGAGATCGAGAGATGAAACTTGATTAGTCTAAGGTAATAAAACCATAGATTGAGCGAACGCTAGAGATAAGTTACCGCGATCTGTGAGGTTTTGGTAAATTTTATAGAACTTAATGATCTCTTAGTTTCTAAATCTACTTTAGAGATATTTTGGGTTGTTGCTTAATGGTTAATTCGCTAATTTTTTGAGAGAAAGTTAGTGAAATATTAGAGAACTTAGCCTTTAGAATAAACTTAATTAGGTTAGCAATAATTGTCAATGCATATGATTAAATTGGTGTGAAATTTGTGCCATAGGTTTAGTCTTATTGATCTTTTTACCAAACTATTAATACAATTTTGCTTTTGTTTACTTTTTAATTTGTTTTATTTTTCATTAATTTATTGTTAAAATTCCGTTTCATTATATGGCAATAAAATAGATTAGTTTGATACTTGGTAGGTAATTCTCTTGGGATTTGATACTCGTTTACTTGAGCTTTACTACTTGCACGATTTCTTATACTTGCGAATAGCCTGTACAAGGTGATGATCCTGAAAATATAATTATACCATATAATATTTAGGTGATCTTCTTAAATTGGATGAATGATTTAATGACATTTACCTATAATTAATATTAATAATTATACATGTATAATTATTAATTTTATGTTAACACAACTTTGTATATATATACAATTTATATTCACTTTAAAATTTGTATAATTTAACAATTATTATGTTTTAATCTAGTTAGTTTATTTTGTTAGAATAAATTTATTTATAATCTATTTAAAAAACATTAAAAAAATATACCCGTACAACGCACGAAACCACATTTAGTCTAATAAATATATGGAAAGTATTTTGGCTGTAATCTCAAACATTTTTCTTTAAATTATAAGTTAGTTTTATCTGGATAAGCTCTCCTGAATTTTTTTAGAATGAACTCTTTCTACTTTATTTTACGAATTTCAAAAGCTTATATTTTATATTTTAATTATTTGTTATATTAACTTCTGTTTTTTTGGAAGGGAGATAATTATTTAAATTTATTTTTTAATAGAAAAAAAGAGCTAAAACTCTAAATTAAATTAAAGTATATTATTTAATTGAACTCTAATTAAATTAAAATTATCCAGAAATTTAAATGTCAGTACTCATTTTCCTAAAAAGAGTAATGAAAGTATTAAAAATATATTATCCTATATCTCCTTCCCTTGTTTTCTTGATTGTGACTCCAACCCAGAGTAAAACAGATACGACACCGTTCCTGCCTGCCGGCAAGTACCGTAACTGGAAGTTGAGCTGAGGCAGTGCTGCCATATCTCAGTTTCACTTAGAAGCAAAAATGTCATGGCTAGCGAGATCCATCGCCAACACTCTCAAACTCGAAAACGACGACGAAGACGATCGCTCACCTAACACCAACACAAACGCCAGTGATCCGAATCCAGAAGATTTACAATCCGATCAAAATCAAAACCAATCAACGGTCGACTCCCCACGCGGAGTCAAAGAGGACCTCACCGAACTCACCAAATCTTTCTCCCGCCAATTATGGGGCGTCGCCTCTTTTCTCGCTCCTCCTCCTCAACAACAACCTCAAATGTCCGATCAAAGCCAGCCGTCCGATCAAAACCAGCCGTCCGTTGAAAACCAGCTGTCCGATCAACTCTCAGATCCTGATGTTGCGGATGAGGATGTTATTGAGGGGATCAAAAGCGATTTCGCCGAGATTAGCGGCAAATTCAGGACTGGAATCTCGAAGCTGTCGAACAACATTAATGTTTCGGAGATCTCGAAAATGGCGTCCAATTTTCTGCAGTTTGCCTCTGAGATGGAACCGACTGAAGCCGTCGGTGTGACTGAAGAAGTATTGATTTTTGCTAGAAACATCGCGCTGCATCCCGAGACTTGGCTTGACTTTCCAGTTCCTGATGATGAATATTTTGATGGTACCATTCCTTCTTAATTAAGTCACATGTACTGTTTGCAAATTGACATTTAATATTATGTGACCTGACAGGGATTAGCGGCTTTAGATTCCTATTTTAGTTAAGAATTGATGAGAATGCTCACCTACCTATATGAATTCCTTAATTTTAAGTGTGGTAGGGTTTATGATTTGTGCATTTTGCTTTGTGACTAAAAAGAATGGAACTGAAGATATGAGACACAAGTTTAGTTGCTATGTACCTTATTATAATATTTGATTATATGACGTTGGCTACTAATCTCTGAGAGGATGTTAATAGGTTCTTTGATATTTCGATCATGATAACTTGACATTTTATTTTTTAACCACAACTATACTGATTTGAGTTGGAAACTCAACTTTTATTTCTATATTGGTTTGGATTGAAATAAAAGTATGTTCATTTATCGTTATCAGTTCATTTAGATTTTTTTTTTCCATCTTTAAAAAAAAAAAAAAAATCATGGAATTAAGCACAACATTTAATTGTTTTTTTTATTGGATGGAATGAAGTAAGAATTTTGCAGCTTATCGCCCATTGTGAAGCTATCTGTACTTGTGAAGAACCTTATGAAATCTATTATATCAGATTCATATTTTTATGCATATTTGCCTGTGGATTGTTGATTGGGTTTGCTATGAAAGAACTCTTATTGCCCATTGTGAAGCTACTTGTACTTGTGAAGAACCTTGTGAAATCTATTATATCAGATCATATTTTTATGCATTTGCCTGGTTGTTGATTGGGTTTGCTATGAAGCATCTGTTTTTGGTGGTATTTATTTCTCAACTAAATGGATCAAATATGTCAAGCATCGTTATAATCAATTTGGTTCTTCAGATTTTGACATGTCTGACGCCCAACAGAGCATGCTTTGGCTGTGAACGTCTTGCACCAAGTTTAGCTGCCTCCAGGATTGAACTTTGCCCTGGGCACATGAGTGGGTTGCTTCTGGAAGATATATTTTGTATTCTGCACCTAGAATAATAAAGATGATGCCGAGCTTTTGTCAATCCCCAAGTATGTTCACTTTTGTTCAAAAACAGTTTCATTTTCTGTAATTGCTTGATTCCTGTAGGACTCAATGATGCACAGCATGATGAAGTGTTTTCTATTGATGCATAATACAGTGCTGTGTTTATGTCACATACTGAAGGAGAGACTTTTGGAAAACCTTTTTTTAATCCATAGATGAGGTGTTTTGTGGTGATTGGAAGATATTGATTGAACCATCTGGAATATTGAAAAAGACATGAAATGCAGGAATGAATTTATGAGAGCTAATAATGTGTAGTCTGCTGACTAACCTATCTTATGGTAGTGTTCCTGCTGCGTTTGACCCCATCCCCACATTTACCAGCAAAGGGTGCTAATATAATGATTTATTTGCATTTACCATTTGATACACAAAGAGATAAATGTGTTTTTTCTTGACATGTTCTACTCTCTTTCCCTGTTTTGCTTAATATCTTGTTTGCTCATCTGCTCGTCATTCTCAAAATACAAACACTTTTTCCTATTTCAAGAAACTTAGATCAATCTCTTATGATTACATATAGCAATAAGAACCTTATTGATCAATGCCCAAAGCAAAAAGATTTGACATATATTAGTAGTAAGGGGCCTGTGATTTCTTGTTTTCTACTCTCTTGAATGGCGATGCTGAAGATCATTAGTAATCTTCTTTTATTCTTTGGTTAAATTTTAACTTGTAGGTTGTTTGGTTAATAGGAAAATGAGGGATGTGAGTGCAAAGTAGGGAGAATATAGAAAATTTTGGATCTTTTATGTTAAGAAAATAGTTCTTCTAATAATGATTGGATAACTTACATGTGAACAATTCTGTGATGCTGGAACTTCTTTCAATTGGATCCTTGCTTTTACGTCATGGAACTTTCCTTTTTAACTTCTATACTGTGGGTTTGAACTTTTCCGCTATTGCACCTGCTTAGGCCTTTTCCTTTAGACTAAAATTTTGCTGTACATAATTCCCATCCTTCTAGTCCTGTCTTTAGGAAGGAAGAAGAGTGATTTAAAGTGTTTAGGGTTGGGAATGCCAACTATTTTGGTTTGAGATCCAATGTAAAATAATTGCATAAATATCAACTAATAGGGACTAAAACAAAATAGATGAAATATAATAAACAGATAAATAGATGAAGAATAGAAGGTCTAAGATCTATTTTTCTCATTCAATTGTCTCTTATTTCGTACAAAAAATTTGCAAAGGGGAGGGGTTTGTATAGGATTTCCAGTCACCACTCAACCAATCATTTTTTGCTATAAAGTTGCTTGGTGTCATGGATATAGCAAACTAAATGAAATGTTGCCATTGTGCATGTGTCTAAAGATGGCATGATGGACCATCGTATTTACAACACTTCCTCCTAGATCTCCACCAATAAAATTTACAATACACTCATGTTACCTATCATGCCATTTGTAGACATATGGCACAAGGTGGAACATTTCGTTTAGTTTGCTACATGTGTGACACAAGCCAATGTGGAAAATTTGATTGGTTAAGTGGGTGCTAGAAACATTGCATCATAGAGTGTTTTCACATAGAACCTTCAGCCAAAAATAATTTGGTTATTACATAAAATCACTGTAAATGCATTTGTTTCTTACCTAAAGATAGAATTAGAGGAGAGACATGATTTTGAGTTTAAAAGAATAAGCCTAATAATAACAAGAATAGGAAGCGCAAAGCCCATTAAGTATGAAGATGAAACGAAAAAGAAGTTTCACGTTAAAAAATGAGGATGCATATGAAGGAGGTTCCTATATCACTAGAAGCGCATTTGTTGTCGATGTCATGTCAGCAAAAAGCATGAAAAGTGTAATAGGGTAAGTATTGGGAAGACGAACAGTGAGTTTCATTTTTTTACCTTCAAAATGTCATGCATATAAGAAAGTTATACTAATTTGTTATGCATTTTAAGGTGAAGGAATTACTTCTCTGAAAAGATCTCTCCCATGGTTGTTTGAATTCCCTCACTTTCCTATTAACTAACAACCTGCAATAATGATTTAACTAGATAAATTGTGAGTATTACTGATGATCTTTGCCAGTAAGGGTTTTGTGCATAAATGATTTTAATATATAGTTACAAACAATAATGTTGGGAACTAAATCATCTCATCCGTTTGACTGAGTGACTTTATAAAATTCATTGTGCTGGATTGCAAAAGTTCCTTTCCAAATTTGCTCATTAAATAATATGGTAAATATATCTTATGAAAACCAGAGATGGCTATCAGCTTATTCCTTTTCTAATTTTGGTCACTTGTTAGACCTTTTTAGCAGTTTCTTATAGATGGCTGTGCTTGCAGATAGTGGAAGCGAGAGCAATGTTAGCACACGAGTTAAGAACAGAGCTGAGGCAAAGCCAGAATCAGTTCACTCTTTAATTGGCTTTCTGATTCAAATAAAATTGCTGGAAGTGATGCTTATTTAAGTGAAACTGTTGAAGCACCAACTGGCCAAAATCTGAATCAGTGTCAGAAGCATCGCCTTTGATGCAGCCCCTTCTGTAGCAACAGCTGAATTTGAAACAGAGAAGCACTCAGTTAAACTACTGAGATGCAGGTTATGACAGTCCGTTGTCAAGGAAGTGCCTGTGGACACCAAACATCAACATGCACTATCTAGTTCCTCGCTGGAGTTTAGATGAAGTTTGAGGATGATGGTGATGATTGGTTGAAAGAGGAAAGCTCAGAAGTTGTTGGTGTGAGGGGTTCCAAATGCATTTGGAAAGATGAGGATGTATCGTTCAGTGATCTTGAGGAGGAAGATGAGATGTGCCTCCAAGTTATAAGAAAGCAACATCTGGCTCTGATTCTTCAACAAAAGATTCAGGGTTGGGTTCAGCTAGGCAGAAGCTCTGCTGATTCAGCTAAGGATATTAATTCTGTTGGTGATCAACATGCGGGTCTCAGAAGTAAGTGCTCGCAATCCTGAGAGCAAGGAATCCAATGATGGCTTGATGTTGATGACATTGATGAGATGTGATATACCATAAGAGCCTTTGGGATTGTATGTATATGCATTCTTATTGCCACTTCTTGTGAATAGATTGCATATTTGGTTTCTTCATTTGAAATTAGGATTTGGGTGCTGTATGTTTGTAAATAAAGCCCTATCGAATTGGACATAATGTGCACCCGAATTTAATCGTTATAATTAAGCACGATGATGAAAAGTATGCATGTCATTTAAAGCAGACGGGAAAATTTCTGGGAAAATTAATCTACACCTAGAATAAAGGAAAATACGTAGATGGGATTAGAAGCTGGAATACTCTCAATAAACTTAATGTTGCTTAGATAAACGCGTTATAAAGTGCGTGTAAAACAATGTGATGCTGGGTCCCTGTGTACAGCAGTTGCCTTGAGAATTTGCTGGTAGATGTTTGGTTTCATCATACATGCTTGAAAGAAGTTTTTATTTGCATCATATACATTGATGTTGGAATTTCTCTTTCCAGGCTAGCCAAAATGGATTATTATTTTGTGATGTGAATGGAAAGCTAACTTTGAAGTAATTGAGGAGAAGTTGTCTCTTCAAGGATCTCTTTACTTTTAGCTGGAAATGACTGAGTACTAACCTCTGTTTTAAAAACCGAACCGGACCGGCCAGTCCAACTGGTTGGACCAGGACCTGGGCCTTCTCGGGTCGGTTCACTCTTTTTAACTATTTGAAGTTTAAAATATAACAAATACACCCCTGATTATTCAGCAGTCCCTGAAGGTTTCAAATCTAGCAAACACACCCTCTGGCCAAATGCAAATCGCAATGACCTCCCCTTTTTCGGCGATCTTCCACCTTTCCTTACTGTTGGAAACACCTTCTGAGTTTTGACTTTCTCCGGCGCTGTCACGCTTCATCTCCAGCAGTCCAGTCGCTGCGTGACGTTTCGTTGTCCACCTTCACCGCGAGATTTTTCTTCCATTTTCCGGGTCGATCGGCCTTCTCTGGCATCGACAGGCTTCCTCAGCCACGATCTACTTCTCCCAAGCTCCCTTGCCGTCATTCACGAAGATCCAGTCATCTCACCAAAAAAAGCAATCGCGACTAGTGACTTTACCATCGGTCTACCATTTTCCGGTGATGCCTCTACTTGCTAGCTGTCGATTCGCCCTCCCATCATCCAATCTACCCTCCCTGGTGTGTCGTCGCTGCTCTCCCAATCGATCGTCGATTTGCATTTGGTCAGGGTTGTGTTTGCTAGATTTCAAACCTTTAGGGTCTGATGGTAATTATTAGGGGTGTTTTTGTTAGATTTTAAACCTATCAAACCATCGGTTTAACCAGCAGTCCAATCGGTTGGACGGTGAATCGTGACCCGACCATCAGAGCGGTTTGCCCTCTGGTCCAGTTTTTAAAACAATGGTACTGGACCCTAAGATAAGGCAGATTTAACCTTAGTGATTTGACCAACTCAAACATGACATCTTTTTATTAGTTAAGACGGATTTACCTGAGATGCACCCACACTAAGTCAGTTAAAGAAGAGCAGAACTTAGAAAATTAATATATGACCTACATAAATTCATGAAAGGATGTACCGTTGATTCTTTTTTGGTTAAAAAAAAGGAAGATAATGTGAATTGCGAAGTTGAATTATGGTGATAGTGTCTTTTAATTTGTTCGAAGTCATCATTAAATAATTGATGTAACGGGAATGGGTAATGGTTTGTCTCAGGAGTAATACGTATTTATAAATCTGATTAGAAAAATATTAAGGATTATGCAGAAATCTTGAGACTTACGGACAGAGTAGACGAGGAAACTTGAAATCCATATAGAAAGATCTTAATTCTTCTTTTTAAATATTTGACGTATAATCTAATGATTTGATCATGTGCAGAGCGGTATCGAGAAAAGCATGTTATGTAGATCCATTCATTACAACGAATACTAACTAGTTAGGACGCTTAAACTAAGCTTACATACAGACTAATCTAGAGTCACACATAAGCACAATATAAACCAGTCCCAACTTAGGAACTCTTCAGGATCTAAGGGGGCCGAAGTTGCTTGAAATGCGCCCTAGGTGAGACCACAACAAGCTTCCTAGGGAGAGTCTTGCCCTATTCTCTAACTTACTGTTTCCGCCGCCGGCTCTGTTGAGATCTGGAAAAGAAGCTTTTGAACTCCAACTAGAGGATTTGTTTACCACCAATACAGATCCCCCTATCTCTTGTCTCACTAATTCAATTGTAGGTGCATCTACCTCATGCCCTGAAGCATCCGTAACATAGAAAGACCCAGTTGCTCTATCTCCATTTGTGCCTATCTCAGATCTCGATACTGAGAGACCGTTCTCGCGAAACACTCGAGTGATGTCTGAGAGCAGTCCCATTCGGTTCTTTGTGCTAATGTCCAGCCTCAAACCCTGCACAAAGTAGCCACAACGCCATTCAAAAACTTAAACTGAGCATGAGCAGCAGGTGATATAATGTCGACTTACATGCGAAACTCTCCTTTCGACTGCAGCTATCAAGCATTGTGTTAGTTTTTTCCTCTCGCTTTCTTTATCCAAAGTGCAGCCATCCTTGTGCCTTATAAAATACTCCTACCATATAACAATTATACATAACAGAATATCAAAATCAACTCCATGTTAAAATATTTGTGAAAATGACTAGAAAGACAAGTACCTGATCAGCAAAGGAGCCCTTTGAGCTAACAGCGGCATGGAATACTACATACTGGAGGTCAGTTAGAACACATACAGTATCAAACAACAACTTCGGCCTATCTAAACTTCTCACATTAACTACTGAGTACCCTTTCTCCTTGCAACCTTCTATAAATACATGTGTCCTAATACACCCTTTCCAGTGTCCAACACCGTTCTCGCATCCCTGACACTGGTCGTAATCCTCGTCAGCATACATCAGCTGGTGGAGCCGCCTTTCGGTGTGGGTCCGACCCACGACCGGGGTGGTTAACCTAGCACTTCTCTTCTCCCCTTCCCTATGATGGGCAGCAACTACAATCTCTAGCTGCTCTTCCAAATGGGCTAGCCTATCTGGGTCTGTGATTGGGCCACTGTCTAATCCATCTTCTATGTAGAATATGCATGCTGATCTGGTGTTGTGAGTCCATGCCACGGCAGCAGGGACGTGGCACCCTAACTCATGAAGCACTGCTGATATTTCGGACATTAGACCCGGTCGGTCCGTCCCAGTCACCTCTAAGGCTGTGTTTTCAGCTGAAACATGCCGTGGCCTCACGTCTCTTTTGAGATGGGTTTGTACTTCCTTTGCAATCCCTCCTCTTCTATTAGTACATAGCGCCTGTTAGTAGTGATTTTACATCAATCATTCACATGAATTCATCCTTAAACATGGTACGTATCAGTAATAAAAGTAATGTCCTGGAAATGTTCAAAGGATTGAGTTGGGCCCCGATAGTCAATTTTGGCCCACTTATTTGATATCGGTAGGTAAGGTAAAGACCTAAAAAACTTGGCTAAAATGGGTATATATAATACGTATTACTTACTTAGATGTGTATCCAAAAAGTATACTATAATTGTATTGTATGAGAAGTTGAGAGTTGGGACAGTAGTGTTAATAAAATATAAATAGAGGTATGAAATAGTTGAGAATTTAGAAAGAGAGAGAAACCTGCTGAATGTAAAGAATAAGAGTTTCATCAGTTATTTTGTTGGCGAGCTGGTCTGTGACGTGGAACACTGAGCGCCATGCAATCAAAACAAACAAGGCCACATGAAATTGGGTCAGAAGCATCATGGGTGAATCATGTGCAGCTCATAAAGTTTACCATTACATACTAAACAAATACTATTTCCTTTTTCATTATATAAACGGACACGTACGGTATTAATTATATATGTAAGTATGACAGAAGGAAGCACTAACCATCCATGAACCATCCACCATCAGAGGAAATGTATGATTTTGATATAACCAGGTCAAGATCTGTCAAGACTTGAACCATCTCCAGCAATATCCCGTGCTTGTTTGCACTATCGACCTGTTTAATTGATTCAGGATTATTTACAAAATGCAAATCTGAGTGACAAATTGATTGGAACAGGAAGAGTTGGGGTTTTGTTGACTTTATTGAACTGATTTATGGTTTGCAATGAAACATTACGTCAGTTGGTCAGGTTCCCTAGAAGGAATCAAAGAGGTTACATAGATGGCTTCTGCTTAACATTACTACCATGCAGGTTCTTCTGACAATATAAAGCATAGGTGAATGAATAAATAATAATCAATAATCCTAAACGTAAAAGCTTTTGCCTTTACTTTATTTGTTTTCTCGTGGCTATCCAGTATCCACTCGGCTAATTAATCTATAAGGGAAGTGGGAATGTGCAGGCAGGCATTGATGCCTTTTTAATAAACTTAACATTAGAACCATATAATATTAGTTTATTCATGGTAATGCTCATATGTTTAAGTAATTAATTCTATATTCTTCTCTAAATAATGTTGAGATGGTATCTTTCTCAGCTCTTACATGACACATCTATGGTGGAATCTCCAACAGCTAATTAAATAATTAACTTACTCATTAGTTTATTCAAATATTAAACTCAAAACACATGATTTAATAAAAATAGCTCCATATATAATCTATGCATATCATCATCTGCCAAAAGGACCACTATCAGAATAAGATATTAGTTCTAACCTTTACAAGAGTGCAGTCTGGGTAAGCGTCGTTATCGATACAAACCCTGCAATGCCAAAACAGAAGCAGATTAACTTGAAAGAGGAGAAGAAAAACAAAAACAAAAAGTGAATATATAATTAAGGGTTATGAATTTATATGTACCTTGGAGGGTAGATTCTTTCGATGAGTGATTCAAACTCGGGATCGATGTAAGGCTTGTAAGGAATGATCTCCATGAATTGTTGTTAACAGAGCTTCGCTTTCATGGACAGCGTGGATGGAGCCTTTGTAATCGAAAACCAAAGGCCACTGTATTTATGCAAAAGACAGACTTATATTTTAGAATATTCAAAACACAATAAGACAGATAATCAAAACGTGTTTATAAATGAGATAAGGGAGAGAATGGCGTCTAGCTTGTTTTTCAAGTTTATGTATTTGAAAATTTGATATGGGAATTCAGTTGCATCTACATTACTGTTTCTTTCGTTCTACAATTTGAGTTTTCCAAGCCCTATAAATTAAATTTATATACAAGTTTCGAGTCAATCAAATTGAAAAGGGTTTTATTTAGCTTAGAAATTAAACTTGTTAAATAAGGAACGAAATTTCCTTGAAAATTAAGGGTTTTTTTCTGAATTCAGAAAACTAATAAAGAAGAGAAACAGCTGCAAATTTCTGTTATATTCATGTATCTTCTCCAAGAAGAAGGTGTGACAACTCTTAATAAACAAATCGAATCTTTTAAAAAGAGATAAAAAAAAAATATGAATGTTACCGCAGAATCAACGAAGAAAACCTGACGGCTTCATACAAAACGTATAAACATAAAATAAAATAAAAACAAGAAATAATTAAAACTTACAATCGAAGGTAGAAGAAGTACAGTTGTATCACAACTCTAAATACATATAAACCCGTATGAAAACTCACATCACAGGAACATTAATTTAATAGCTAAAAACTCTAGAAAACTCCATAATTGCTGATGGTATATAATATCAAAAAAAAAAAAAAAAAAAATGCAAGAAAAATCTGACCTTTACATATGTGGAGATGAAATTTGTTCAGTGAGGCGAGGAGATGAAGGAAGGTGATGAATGAGAAATGGGAAACGCCTACGTAGAAGTTGTCATTGCTGAATAAACATAATATTCTAAGTTTAGAAGAATTCGATGGTAGCTGACTTACAGAAGCGAAACAGATGGAGAGTCGTTATAACAGAATAACTCTTTCAAAACTTGGAACTTAACTCAAACTCTTTTGGGATTTCTCTCGGCTTCCTCTCACTATCTCTTTCCCTTTACTTTTGTTTTTATGAGAATAAACAACAACGTTTTGCTATAGGTTCAGAGAATAAAAATAAAATTAAAAAAAAAAAAAAAAAGAAGCAAAATTGTATGTCTAAGGTAATATCATATCAATTATAAAATTTCGAAAATAAAATATTTATTCGAGATATTTTCCTAATTTTAATACAAAATCTATAGATTACGTTTTTAAAAATTATTTTACATATACGTATAATTATACCTTATTTATATCTGTTGGGTGGGGGTGTTCTTGTATAAGATATATCATAAACCTCAATTAAATTAATTTACGACTAAATAAGTTTAATTTGGATTACACTAGACCCAAGAGTCCTCCGAGTTAAGGGGTGAGCACAGCGGGAGACTAAGACTAAGACATTCCATATGTATTCACCACGTTTACAGTTGATTTACACGTGGCGAATGATGCTTGATAACATGGTGTCAACCTGCGGCGGCCCGCCCACGAGGTTAACAACACGTGTTTATGTGGGGGCGGTTGGATTTTTTTTTTTTTTTTTTTTTTTTTTTAAAGTTGGAATTGTTTGTTTTGAAGAGGGTGGAATTTGGAGTATTACGGATATACCTAGTCAAAAGCTCTGAAAAGTAGGAACTAAAGAGATGATGGACCCCATGTGACGTGGCAGGATCATGGTGGTTTAAATGTCTGTGGTGCTTTAGATTTTAATGGATCATGACCTTATCTACATTAACCAATTTCTATCATTTGAGTACAGCTGTTGATACGAGACTGACGGGATTATCTTCCTTATTGTCTGTCATTTATTAAAATTGTATTTTACTTATATTATTATTATTTTTTGTTATTGATTGATGAGATAATGTCTACATATAAACTCAATTATTAAGATTTATTGCTTTAATTTAAGGTAGGTTTGATCTTAACATTCATAACTAAACGTGTTTAATCAAGATTATGTCATCATGTATTACACCTCACCAAAGTAGATATTTCATTTTCTAATTTACATTAGATGATTTGTATAAAAAAACTGTTGTTTTTGATAACAATTCAACCAAAAATAAAAAGACGTATTCTAAATCAAATAAAATTCCTTTATTCATTGTTTTTTTTTTCTTTCTACATAAATACTTTTATTGTTGATCTATGTGTAACTTATTCTGATGTTAACCAGTGTTCCTCTTTCAAATCTCTATTTTTTTTACATTTTAATATAATCTAGGATCGAATCTAATTTTAAATATATAATAATTTGATTATTTTTTGACCAAAATTAAATTATTTTAAATAAAAATAATCATGTCCTTAGATAAATTTATAATTGAACTACAAATATTTTTTTCTTTTTTTCTTCATAGGTGTCCGTATCAAGACTCTGAAGTTAACGATGGATAAATTTCTACTAACCACACTCCATCGTTAAATCTTGTTTGTTTTTCAGTTAATTTTGAAAACATATCATCTATTGAGTACTGTTTATAGGTATAATTTTAATGTTTTTATTTGTTTTGTTTATAATTATATTGCCTCAAATCAAATAAAAAACATCAAAATTATACATTCAAATGCTTTATAGTAATTAATCCCAGTGTATAATATCATTTATTATTGAGCTATAAAAAATCAACTTCAGCCTGGAGGAAGTTGTTGTATGTATAAAGTTGCAGACACAGACACTTGACTTCAGCATTATCACACAACCTGCCACATCTAGCCGACCCTCCAATCTTTCAATGCTCAAAAAACAAACAAACACAGAGCCTATTGCAAACCAACATTAACACCTTCTATTTAGAGCTTTTAACTTATCTAATTCAGAGGCGCTGTTTGGATTATTCAAAAAGACAACCTGATCATTTGCTCTTCTCTTCTCCATCTTTATCCACACTTCCCTTTCCTGTAAGATACGCCACTCTCATCTTCAACTACTTTTACGTCATCCCTTTTCTTTCCTCTGCTTTTGTTTCTATATTTCTCTTTACTCTCTTCATTTAATATCTAATTCACCTTTTGCAAACTCCATTCTTTGTTGCGATATTGATACTGTATTGATTTATGGACCTACAGTTGGTGAAAAAGGGTCTTGATTTTTCACGGAAAAAGAAGAAATCTCTTCTTTTATTGGTAGCTTGTAGTTTCACTAGTTATAGTATATACAGGGCTTATCGTTTGCCTGTTGTAGCACTCAAGAAAAAGAGAATTTTAAAGCTTTTAGGAGCTTTGTTTTCTGTGGCAGAAGCAGTTTGTGATTCTGCGGAGACAATTGGAGTCGTATCTAGAGAGTTGAAAGATTTCTTGCAGTCAGAGTCGGACCAAATCCCCAATAGTTTAAAGCAAATTTCCGAGATAGTGAGCTCGAAAGAGTTCTCAGGGTCAGTAGTTAATGTTACACAAGCTGTAACTGTGGGAACTTTGCGTGGATATAAACTGCATTCTAGAAGTGATGATGGTTCAAATGCTAATTCAAGTTTTATGAATGAAGTTATGGATAAGGTATTTACACCAGCTGGGTCTGGTTTTGCATCTGCTATTGTTGGAAGCTTTGCTAGAAACTTGGTTATGGCCTTCTATTCAGATGCTCAATCTGTTCCAGAATCACATTCGGATTCACCTAATTCAGTTCCAAGATGGTTGGATGAGGTTTGTAGCAATGACAAGTTAAGAGAGCTGATTGGGGACTGTGTTCAATTGTTTGTGAGCACGGCGGTTTCTGTTTATCTTGACAAGACTATGAATATAAACACCTACGATGAATTCTTTACTGGATTGACTAACCCCAAACATGAAAAAGAAGTGAAAGGCATGCTGTTAGCAGTCAGTAATGGTGCAGTTGAGACTCTTGTCAAAACATCTCATAAAGTTTTAACAAGTTCTAAACCAAGTTCACAGTTTCCATTAGCTATTCAGAAGTCATCGGGTAGAAATGAGATTGTTTTGAGCGCAAGAAATTCTTTTGGCGAAATTGAAAATGGCGGATGGGTTGGGAAAATGTCTTCTACAGTGGCAGTGCCAAGCAATAGAAGATTTGTTCTTGATATGACTGGAAGATTTACCTTTCAAATGGTGCGATCTTTCCTTGAAATTTTACTGGAGAAAATACAAGATGCTTTGAAAAGATCTTCTGATGTTGTTTGTGAAGCTGTTGTTGACAGCAGTGTTGAGGCTGCGAGATATGTTTCTGCAAAGTCTTCTGCTATTGCAACTATCTGTCTCACTTTGTGCTTGCACATATTGGATAGTGTTTGGATTATGGTGCCTGCTTAAGTTCAGTATTAAATGGTGGTGTAATTCCTTTTCTTTATAGTAAGAAAGCAAATTCTTTGAATTATGTTGTATGATATAGAAAGCCATGAATGTAATCACTTGGTAGGATTTTAAAATATGTGACTTTGTACCATTCTCCAGCAATTTGGAATATAATGTTTAGACTATAATGAGCAACCATGATCAGCTTTAGAAGCTATATGACCAGTTGCTGAAAATTGATATCTTTGATTGAATGGATAATTGCACAAAGTATGAAGTCTTCATTCTGTGGAGTGTGGAGTATGGCCACTTGCTTGGCTTATTTTCTTTCCTTATGTTGTCAGGATGAATTGGTTGCGTTTAGTTGTTTAGATTTAAAAGAGAAACAACAGGAGTCAGGACCTAGATAAGCATTGCCTTACAGTTAGGTGGCTTTGTTATGGCCCTATGATATTTTCAAATCCCAACCATTAAGATACCACAAATCTTGGCTTCTTACATGATCTGTTTAAGATTGATTCTACTTTTTCCGATTTGGATATTGGAGTCATATGTCATAGGATGAGTTTCCAGGGTTAAAATCTGCAAACCCCTGGAAAAATATACTTATAAACTAAATTCTTCTCAACTGTAAAATGGTTATGGATAAACCCTATCAAAATTTGACGGAATAACATATTAAGTAATTTGATGCCATTATGTGAATACACACTTTTACTTGGAGATATTCTTTCCCTTGATATCCAACATATATCTAACACAGGTTACCTTCTTGGTGTAACTTCCGTAATCTGATCTGTTTGGAATTTCCTTGCCCTTCGAGTCCAGGATAATTCTAACACAGCTCGCCTTCTTGGTGTACCTGCCTGCTTGCTTTGAAAATTTGACTTGAAAAAAGCTTTTAACAATCCAACCATAAATCCTGTTGGAATGAAATAGTATGCCATTAGCTACGGGGACCAGCGAACAATTTAACAGGTAGAGAAAAAAATCAAATAGTAGTGACGAAAATGATTATCACAGTATTATACAGATCAATAACTTTCTATCAGATTTTATTTCAGATGTATTTTCTCGTACAATACTATAAAGTCTAGATATTATTTCATTGAAATAATTTTCAAGCTCTAACCTTAAATTTAACAAGAATGAAGAAAATATAAAGACAAATTCTCTAAAATGATTACAGGATGTATATTTGTCCTAAATCACATAAAGACTAATATTTCTCAAAAAACAACAAATTTTCAGGTATTATGAACGAAAATAGTTGATATTCATTTAAAAACTTCGAGGTAAAAAGCATCTTTGAGGTGATTTCCGTAAAATTCAAAAAATTATTTTATGTTATTATTATTTTTTCTTTTTTTCCTCAAGCGGAAGTTTGAATTCAGCCAGACATTTCAAAGCAAAGATTTAGTACAATCCAAGTTCAATATAACATAAGTACACTCTAATCTCCATCTCAAATCTACATTGGTGAATGTAACAAACATGCATGCTAGACATCTACCACGTTGGACCTTCTATAATTAGCAAGGTTCAGCAGTGGTGTCTATCAGAATGCTACAACTCAATGACAGTTCTACAATGAAGTTGCCTATACTTTCTGCTTCAACCAGTAAACTGAACAAATGAACTGATTTCACCAGTACATCAAAGTGTGCATTTAGGAACTAATTGCATCCAATTAAGTTGCATTAGGTTCATTCCTATATGCTATAGTTGAACATCATGAGCAACAAACAGCTGAACAGAATTCAAGCCTCTTCAGAAAGTAAATGGAAAAAGAAATTCCTGCTCACCTTTCACAAAATAACCAGTGTGAGGAAATTCAAGATGATATTTGCGAACTTGAGTTTGAATCAGACCCCTTGGCAGCTGCCTCTTCCTGAAGCTTTTTTTTCCAATACTCATCAAGCGGTGGTCCAAAAATAGCCTTTCCTGAAACAACTCCAATCCTGCAAATGGTTAATTCATTCTCACAGTCAAGAGTATTTACCATATGATTAGATCGAGCCTGTGCAAAACTTAGAATTGCAAAAAGGATTCTATCAGATTTACCAGTGTAAAAGATGAATTCAAAATTTAAGTGATAGTCCACAATAACACAAACTGCATTAATAGCTGAATATTAAATACCATATTCAAAGAGCATCGGTGCTCAAAGAAAGAAGAAACAAAAGAAACACAGTGTCATGGTTTCTGTCCTGGTTCTATCAAAAAAATCAAAGACCAGCAAATTTGGAATTAGTTCTTCAAATTTGAACACTACCCATGGAAAGCTATAGGTTTGCCACAATGTTTTAACCAAGTATATGAATTCGAAATTGCATACATGAGGCTCTATGAACTTAAAGAAATAGAACATCAAAAAAAAAAAAAATACGGCTATATGTATACAGATTTGCGTATATCCATACCCAATATAGGCATGCACATAAGTATCTTTCTTTTGTTTCTGGCACCACCTACTGCGTGACTTTAGATCCTTATTGAATCACACGACATTTGGCTTGTGTACAGAGGCATTTTTGTATTAATGCCATCATTCTCACAAACATTATTAAAAACTTTGAATTGGAGGAGTTGAAAATAAAAAAAGTTAAACTAAGGTATAGATGAAGTAAATGTAAACAAAAGGTACTCCAAAGAACACAAAAATTAGAAGGGTGCTTGATTATGAGATTTCTTACTTTTCTGCTTCTATTACTACAGTCACATATAAATATGTCTTATCTTAAATAAATTTACAAATAAAGCACCAAGATTACTCTTTCAAATCATGAAAACAAATGCAACAAATGCTATAAGTATGGCCACTATCATAGTTAAACATACCAATGCGACAAACTAATCTTCATAAATCAGCATGTACAAATCTATCCGCTAACGGCTTATCAATCTTTCGAATCATTATTACAATGAAAAAGTAGGACGACGCGTTTTCCAGTCCAAGTTACAATTAACTCAAAACATATAAAATATAGAGTAATCAGGAAAAAATAAATAAACTCACACAACTGCTCCAATCACCATTGGGAACGAGAGAAACCTGCTTCTACCGAACATTTTCAAGCGTCTTCAATTCGGGGTTTTCCAACAAAGGTTTTGGATATAGGAAGTAATTTCATTTTACTTGAATCCAGATTAAATTAAACCCGGAAAAGAATTATTTGACCCGAAATAAATCTGGATCGTGGATTTTCTGACATGGGCTGTTCAAATGGAGACCAGCCCACCATACAATAAGTTATCGACCCAATTCTAACTCTTTCCGACTTTTCCCTTAGAACAATAAGACATATGAAAAATTATATTTGTAATACAATCTCATTTATACAAATTAATGTCTTATAATATAATTGAATAACTTAAAAATAAAAAATATATGAAATATGTCAGATTATCACATCTATTTATAGAGATTAATTTCTATAATTTACTTGTATATGTAATTTTACCCTTATTCTTATTATATTTATTATCATTTATATATATTGTGCCTGATAAATTTTACCATCACATATGTGACTAAGGAACTGGATAAATAATGTCAAAAGTTGGGACCTTATGAATTTAGGAGTATATATATATATATATAAAGAATGGATTTTTATCCTATGTAGCATCTCCTTTACGTCATCACTGATAAGTAACCATTATGATTATTTGACCAAAAATCAGATCCTTGTTTGGAAATGTTTATTTTTGTTTTTAATAACACTAAACCATTTGTTTTGACAATGTGAATAAATGTTTTTAATGTTTAAAGTGTGGATCTATACTAGATGAAAATTCACCGTAATAAAATCATGAATAATCGAAAGACAATACATCCAGACCCACATTTAGGAAAAACCTTTCAACAAAGCAAACCTTTTATCAGAGGTTTGCAACAAGTTTAGGATATAATTATGGTACATTTCATGATTCTTTGTATATATACCAAGAAGAAGTTTTAGTCTTCCACAGACTTCCTAAGAATCTTTGTACTGAGTTTTATCACTGCTAACCTAAAAGACCAACCTCGATTCCCAAATTTCATATATATACATTTTGGAGGGTTGGTCTTTTTGGGTGGCATGATGGTTACCTCCCCTGAAGGTTTGCAAAATTTGACTGTGAAAGACTAAAACTTCTTCTTGGTATTATACAAAGCCCATGAAATTTACCATAATTATTCCTAAACTTGTTGCAAACCTCTTGATAGAGGGTTTTGCATTTTAGTTCATTATGCTAGATGTCATCATTGATAAAGTATACTCAAGCTTTCATTATGCTTAACCACATCCTGTTTTATTAGTGATGACCTAAAGATATTTGTGTTTAAACTCACAAGGTTCATATTGCTAAGTATACTTAGCAAACCTTTATATATATATATTGACCTAAAAGATATTTGTGTTTAAACTCACAAGGTTCATATTGCTAGTATACTTAGTCATCACTATAAACAGGATGTGGTTAAGCAATAATGAAAGCTGCTAGTATACTTGTGAGTTTACTGGTGAGGAAGTCAATTTATTTATGATTTCTTAGTCTTTTCATCTAGTATATCATTGAAGAAATTAATGATCTTCTACAAAAAAATTAATTAGGAAAAGCAAGTCTCCTTAGAGTTGCTCGGCCTTTTATGTTCAAAAAATGCTGAACTTGAAAGGGGAGTTCCAAGACTTGTCATAAATTATAAACCTCTTAATACAGCTGTGACTGTGGTGGGATAAATATGATGCACCCATGTGTTTTTCACTTGATCTGTTCTCTAATTCCAAATTAGTAATCTCCCTAATTTGATCCGAAATTTAAAGTCAAATGGTGGGATAAATATGATGCATCCCATGTGTCCAAAGAAAAAATTCAACTTTGTCTCTCAAATTTCCCTCATCGAACTCAACAATTACCCCTGAAATCGGCAATTTTTTTTTTTACAGAAAAATACTGTGGCATTAGTATCCTTAGTCAGGAGCCAAAACAAACAAGAACTTAAAGAAGAAGAAGAAGGTTTAGGGCTATAGGTTTGGGTTTGTATAAATCAAGGTGATTTTTATAAATCGATTTCGTTTGGACATTGATTGTTTTTGTTTTTTCACTATCAAACCATGAAAGAAAGGTATAGAATTTGGTGTGTTTTTCATAAAGTTGTAATAATTTGTTTGAATTATATCTCTTTCTTTTTTATTAAAGTTTTTGTAGAATGCTTCCCTTAATTCTTGATTTCTTTTGAATACAAATCCTTTCTTAAAAGGGTTTTGTCTATTTCAAAATTTCCAATCATGTTTAATTCTGAAAAATCTGTCATTTGGGAATAGGTCAAGACATTCTTGTGATGCTCTTCCCCATCTTGTTGGAGAATGTTTGAACTGAATAATAGGTTGTGGTATTGTTGAGGAATTATCTATTTCTTGAATATTTGTTTAACTTGGCCAGGTCTGGTGTGTCTCTTACTGAACAAGAAATCTTCTTTATTCAAGAAGTTCTTTGGGATTTAATGAGGATAAGTGTGAGTCATTAAAACTTATTCTTGGAGGCCTAATCCAACACTTCCATAAGAATTTTCAGTTAGTTTTCAATCTCTGTATTTTGGATTGGATGGGTTAAAGTTTAGGAATTCTCATTTTTAAAGGTATGACTGCATTTGCTAATAGTCTTGAGTGGTCTTTAAGCTCATGTTTTGTTTTGGCTCTTGCTAAGGATACTAATGCCACAGTCTTTTTCTGTAAAAAATTAGCGTTTCAAGAGTAATTTCCTGAGTTGGATGAGGTAAATTTGAGAGACAAAGTTGAATTTTTTCTTGGACACGGGAATGCATCAATTTATCCCATCATGACTTTAAATTCTAGATCAAATTAGGGAGATTGCTAATAGTTTGGACAATTTCATATTCCCATGTGTAAAATCCACGAGAGGTGGAACTTTGCTGAGAAATGAAGTGATGGAGGGAAATTTGAATCTGCTTTGGAAACTTTGAATTTGAGCTTGAACTCATTGAATCCTTCATGGACAATCGGGGTAGGATTCGGGAGTTATCCAAAATGATCCCACCATTGGGAAAACCAATTGGGAATTTGAATAAAGTATTTCTTTTGAAATAAATCATCTAGGAGTGCCTGTGATGACTATTTTGGAGAAAGAGTGATATGTTCCAGGCCTTTGATAGTCCCATAATTATATCCACGCGGATCAAATTTTGGGAAATTTTTTTTTTATTGGTTTGGGTTGGATCCCTAATCAGAAGCTAAGGATTTTCATGATATGAAGGGTTGATGAGTGATAATCCTGGTTGGTTTTTATCTTCATAGTGTTTAAACTCAGAAGAGTCGAAATCAACAAGAATAAATTCATAAAATTTTTGAGTTTTCTTATTCTTCAGGGATAATGAAACCTTTTGGAAAATTTGTTGACTAATTGTTTAGGGTTATCAAAATCATATCCTTCTTCGAAACCAAAAGATTTGAAGGAATCCTTTTTGAATATATTTTGTCTTGTTTAAGGGCTTTTAATGTTGTAGCTATAGAACAGTTCTTTGTTTGAAAAAGCATTTGAGTTGCCTTTTGTAGTTTACTTAATGAAATTTTTTCACATTGAAAAATCTTGGGAACTTTTTGGAAGAGTTTGAGATCTTTAAATTTCAAAATTTCATTTTTTGGTAATTTGGTGCTCACCCAATCATGGCTAAGGCTTCTTATGGACTTTGTTGAAAATGATCCAATTCTGATTTGCTCTATATTTGTTGGCTCTAAGAGGAGCTTGTTAAGGCTATGCCTTTGCCTTTTGATTGTTGGGCCTTTTCTTGGGCTTCTTCTTCACGTACTAGTTATATGATGATTTGGTGTTTGTGGGCTTTTGGGCATAAGAAGCCTTTGATTGTTTTTGAGTGATTGGAGTTGGTCTTTTTGGATGGCATGATGGTTACCTCCCCTGAAGGAATTCCCTGGTGAGGAAGTCAGGCAGGGAATTAGTTTCTCCTTTGATGTATTCAATTTCAAAATCAAACACACATAAAATTGCTTGCCCTTATAAAAAATTGTTTTGATGCAATATTTTGAACATCCTTTTGTAAAACATGTTTAGCAGTTTGGCAATCAATACGAAGTAGAAATTTTTTATTGTGTAAATCACTTTGAAACTTAGAAATGCATAAGACAATGGATACAATTTCTTTTGATAGTGGAGTATTTTGTTGAGTTTTATTCCAAAATTTGGAAGTATATTGGACACTTGTTCTTTGTTGTCTTTTACTTGTTTGAGAGACCTCCATATCCCAAATCTGGGTATCGTTTTTCTGCTATTTTGAAGGCTAATGGGTTTGCTAAATGCAAACATGGCAATGGGTATTTGGGCTTTAATCTAGGGATATATCGTGTGTGTTGACTTGTCCATGGTTTTGGATTCTTCTTCAACCTTTCATATAAGGTTTGTAAATTTGACTAAGTTTAGGATAAAAATCCTTACATAATTAAGACTTCCTAAGAATCTTTGTAACGAGTTTTATTGGATGACATCAAGGAATTTTTGACCAAATTCAATGGATCTTTGAATAGGTATGATTGTACGATTGTAGATTATTTGACCTAAAAATCAGATCCTTGTTTGAAAAAGTTTTATTTTTGTTTTTGATACAACTAAACCATTTGTTTTCACAATGTGAATAAATGTTTTTAAATGTTTAAAGTGTTGATCTATACTAGATGAAAATATAAGAACATCATCTATAGAACAATAGAATTGAGAGTATAGATGAATAATCATTGATATTCTTTTGAATTCTGATGGGCATTTTTTAACCCAAAGGCATCACATTCCATTAATTGACCAAATGGATATAAATGTGGTTTTATATGTACCTATCCTCTAGTTTAATTTGGATTTGCCAAAATCCAATTTCATGTTGAATTTGGAAAGATTTGAATTAGATAGTTTTTGTAATAAATCTTTTTTGTTTGGGATTGGGTATCTTATCTATCTTAAGGTTTGATGAGAGTTTTAATTTATGACAAGTCTTGGAACTCCCCTCAAGTTCAGTATTTTCTGAACATAGAAGGCCGAGTAACTCCGCAGAGACTTGCTTTTCCTAATTAATTTTTTCTATAGAAGTCATTGATTTCCTTTTAACA